TTTTTTATAAGTAAATTTTAATTTTAGTAGAGAGAGAGTAGTACTTTTTATTTTTTTTTTAATTTAATAATTCCATCAATTGGTATATTTTCAAATCTAATCAATATACATCTTAACATTACTTTATTTTTTATAAAAACGGAAATATACTGTGGATAACATTGAAAATTTGTTTCCGCATCGTTACTAATTAGAATTATCAGAGAGACAGGCAGATACTTAGCAAGAGGATAGAAATCAGTTGATAAAAACTATTTTTGATAAATGTGAATGAAATGAAAAGATAAACTTCACCTTTGTAAGTTTATTTTTGCAGATATAATGAGGAATTGATGAAGACAGTCAGAGAAATGGGTGGAGGATTATGCGAAATGCTTAAGGTTAATACTTTTCTCCAATTTTGTTGAAGAATTGTGAGAATTTTTCGGTTCAATTCAATGGATTTAAAATTTTAAATCTGTACGCAAGAGTAAGAAAGAGGTAAACTCTATCTAGGAAAATATTACTGTTATTAAAATAACATTAACAAATATTTATTATCAATTTCATATAGTGTGAATTCTTTTTTTTTTTTTTAGGATCGTAAGCGAACTTTTGAGCAAGGCTCAATTAAAGCATCTGTTTTGAAGAAAGCAAAGTTAGAGTCGAGAAGTAGTGGTGTTATCAGTGAAGATTCACCATGCGCTTTGAAACGAAAAGTTTGTTTGAATTTTTTGTAAAAAAAAGTTAGAAAGCTTATCCTCTATCATTAATTGAACAATAATCGAGCTATTCTAATGTGAAACTATCGAAAAATTTTTGCTTTAACAAATTTTAGCAAAGTTTACTATTATTTTATTCATTAATACTTCGTTTGATACAATGTTAGTGTGTGCTTTATTTGTAGAGTTTTATGCTGATGAGAGCACAGCTCACCGTTCTTGAAAAATCGACTGAACCGCTTGTTTCACTCAATCAACTAACATCTCGACTCAAGTACAAATGGGAATTGAAGAATGTAGAAAACGGTAAATCACTACTTCTTGTGAATGATGTCACTGTTTTGGAAGGAATTTTGCCGGCATGGAATGATAACGATGCAAAAAATTTTGCTGCAGCAGCTGCTTTAGCATCATTATCAAGGGTATGATTCTTTATTCAATCATTCTTCCCGATATAAATTATATCCTGGGAAGTGGAATGACAGAAAAATTGCTACTTCCAAAATCATACTTGTACGATATTTCTTTTTTTTTTTTAAAATTCAGAAAATAAAATTAGTTCGACTACATATCACGTACAATTAGACCAAACAAGTATTTCCTAACATTAGATGCGTTTGACTGTTCTGTTGGTTACTGAATGTGCAAAGGTTCATTAGCATTATAGGATGACAGAGAAGTGCGCGCGAAAGCTGGCAAATTTGAATTATATAAAGATGATAATGGTCCATCCGATTTTTACACATCCTATCTTATGGATCAGTTGAAATTGGCTGTTAAAGTGATGCCTACCAGTGGAAGTTCATTTGATAAATTGGAAGGCGGTCTTCGTACAGTTCGGATGCCTCTACGATATATTGCCGAACGTGGAACCGGGTATGACATTTTTCTGCATGCTATTTTGAGTTTTTTGTTTAAAAATCATAATATTGAAAATTCAAGTTCAAATTATTCCAGATGGGAACAAAAAATATCGATAAACGCATTAAATGTTCAACTAGCAAACGCCGTATTACGAAAAGGTGAGTGCAATAGGAATCGAGAAAAAGAAAGGAAGGAAGATCTGGCTACTTCAATCATTCAAAGACTTAGTGATTCAGATTTTGAACTTATTCCGACCAACAATGGATATATACTTCGTTAGGGTCTTCACTTACAAAAGTGTATGTTGATTCAGTTTTCAAACAGTACAGTACTGTGTTCATGTCGGAAAATCTTTTTTTTGTTACATCAAAACCGAAAAAAAAAATGAGAATTTACAAAAACAACACATGATCGTTTCAAAAAAAAAAAATGGACCAAAATTTATCCGTAGTTTACAACATTATCCGTTCGTTCTGTTGTGGTTCTTTTCACTTCGACATTTGTAAACTTCACTACCATAATAATTTACAAGGTTACAGGATGGGAGGTACATCTGGGTAAAATTATCTGTCTGACGTTGATAGGTAGCAATGAAAAGTTCACTGTTGAAAACTGGTGCTGAAGAATGTTACTTGAAAAAATATAAGCAGATCGGCTCAACAAATAGCTCACGGACTAATTGGATATAACCGATATCGCTTCAAAATGAATGAAATTAGACATGAAATTAATTTGTACAATGAACTTAATTTATACATAATAGAAAAAAGAAACATCTGAACAATAACGCACATAAGTCAGTAGTTTGGATAATACCAGTCGAAAACATGTTAGTGAGGACAGTGAAGACATCCACTTTGTCTAATCTTTTTTTCGAGTTTTTTCTTTTTTTGCTCTCTACTTTTATAGAGTAACTAAAACCAAAACTACCATCAATTTCTACCCTTCTTATGTCTGTAATTTTATTTCAACATCCTGGAGCTTTGATCGAACAGCGGTTAAGCAAGCCTTCAAAATTAGCCCTCTGTTCTGTATCTGAATGCTTGCTAAAAAAAAAAAAAAAAGTATTTGGTAATCATTTTCAATATTCCACCTTACAACAGGTATTAAAAAGTTCTTCATTTCTCACTTTGCATAACTGTTGTCCATGCACATGCTGCAGCTGGATAAAGTATCTCGTAAAGCTTCATGCAGGTATGCATAAATTTATTGCGTACTATTCCCCCTGCAATAGAGATTTATACTGGATAGGTGCTCTTTGAACTTTTTTCAGCACTTTTTTTTAGCAATTCTTTTTCTGACACTTCTCGTTCGCATTCATCACTTCATTCATTCTTGAGAAATTTTAGCAAAATCATTTGATAAACAGAAATTGTTCATTTTGCCAAAATCTTCATAAAAACAGTGCTCCCTTTTGAACACTATTTCAAAACAAAATCTAACACTTCTCCTTCATTACTGAAATATCTGACTTCTGTTTGGGAAAATTTACTTTTAACTGCCCAGGTTGTCGGTTGTTTAAGGACTAACGAAATATAGGACCATCAGAAATCTTGGTCTCTTCTATGTCACACACTGTGGAACCTTCATGAATCCTCCCTTGTACTTGCGAACCACCAATATCAATCCATAGCTATAAATAAATTGATCATAAATGTTTTTAAATGCAGCAAGCGGCTTTTAAATGCAGCAAGCTTCGATTGCGACATCTATATCATCAAGAAAATTTTCAAACAAAACATTAAAAGCTTGGAAGTTAAACTAAACTACTAAAGTACTTTAAAAATACTTGAACCTGCTTACCTTAATGACCTAATGGCCGTTGGGGATCATATTTATCTATCATTTGCCTAATCTTTAATACGCTTCGCAAATTATTCACAGTAAAAACCATCATTTTCACTATTTCAATTAACCGAAGAGCCGAACCTTATCCTCAGGAGTGATATCCGAGTGAACCCAAGCGAAAGCAAGCGGTCGATGAAGACGAACACTGAATGTTCCCGATGTTATCTGTCCCACTCGCTAAAACAGTACAGTTATCTATGATATATTTCACCAATAACTCATTGGATGAGAAGAGAATCTTCACTTATAGCAGTTCTTTTCTGTTTTACAAAATCTTCACTTATAGCAGTATAGATAACTTACATCTTCTGAACCTTCCTTACGAATCACTTCCATCCGTTTTGGTATCATTCTCCATCCCTGAGGCTCGGTAAGCGGCTCACAAATCAGAAGTACCTAAAGCTTCTTATTTCAAAATTAAACAATTTGACTCCGACCCATTTGTCCTCAATAAAATCGAGATCACTTCTACTATTGCTTTCTGATCAATACTCCTGATAGTAACCAGATGTCTAACATGACTATACATAATTCAGGCAGATTACATAGTTTTTACCTTACAAAAGTGAGACAATATATTTTTAGTGTGCTTCAGGCTCCCACGAATGTTCGATATTTAAGAACAACTTCTAATCAGAAACTAAATACTGGACTTATGGTTTCATTTTATTTTATATTCTTGTCGACTCACGAATAAGAGACTGGATAACAAGGATAGAGCTTGAGGGATTTCCTGTTGTTTTTAATCCTCCTTTCAGTTTCGGAAACAATGTATCTCACCGCTCCTATATTTCATTTTTTTTTTTTACAGAAACACCGTTGAGGTGGTTTTTGTAAGGGTTCCCTTTTCACAGATGTATTTATATTTCAGATCATTCATTCCCTCAGCAATAATTTCGGACACTGCCTAAAATCTATTATTTGGAATTAAGAGATACCTGCTTTCGATTCCATTGTTTCTGCGACAGCTCCATACAAGATGTTCTGCCAATAAAGTTTTCTTTGTTCAAATCCACCATGTGACTCAATCCACACTCGTAAGGATTTGTGTTTAGCGTAAGCTGCAAAAGGCAAAGAAATATTAAGTAAGAGTAAATATCACAACGATATTCACTTAATCAGCTAAGTAAGAAATGGAAATATAAACACTAAAAATAGAAAAAAATAAGCCAAAAAGTCCCCCTTTCGTTGATGTCCATGGATGTACAATTACGAAATATCGTTGGATGGGGTATCACACGTCGTACCATTCATTACCAGATGGTAGTAGAAGGATGATAACGATAAAATACATCAAACAATTTGAAATCGTATGCATAGATGAATAGAAAAACATACTTCTCTGCCCCAAATCTTATAGCCATGCTCGATACGCATCATGTTCAATGTACTTTGGCCAAAATTAACAATTCCGTAATTTCTACCAACCTCCATTAACGAGTTGTAAAGTGCCAATGTATCACCTCTGAAAAGGAATCAGTTCAACAGGTGACATTGTAATTGAAAATTTGGGAAACTAATAAATCATTTCCCGATTGCTATACTATTATTAATGATATACAAATGGTCTTCTGGTAGAGTTACATAATTTCGAACTAAATGTTCAAATCAACAAAATTACAATGAAACCTTTCGAAAGATAAAAATTTAGATCTATAAAAAACTTTAAAATACACTTTTATTGATTTAATTCTATTTATAACAATAGCATCTGGATAGTAAACCTGCTATGATAAAGTTCGTAAGAAAGTTGTCCTGTAGCAGCTGTTGTACGAACAGCAATAACTGGTGCAGAGCCAAGTCTCATTAATCGCGCTGCGCTTTGTTCGAAATCCAAGTCCGACTTTGTTAATTCTTTTAACACCTAAATTTTCAAATTCTAGATCTTCGTTTCAGGAGTTAGTTCCATAGGCAATTGGTTGAAGTTTATTCATATAAACTAATATATTGAAAAATGATATACTGAAGCAATTATAAATAAACCCGAAATAGTAAACCGAAGCAAATTATGAGTTTCAAGGACATCTCTGAACTATGAAAATAACTAATGAACTAAAGAGCTCTTTATTTATATGTGGTAGGAAGAGAGGGCAGCTCAAAGGAGCTTCCTTCCTCGACCACCATTTGATAAATGGTATTGAACAACAAAGTTTGATATCATATTTCATCATATACTTAATCTCAACCGAAAAGTATAACACTATAGCAGATAAGAAGCAATACAAATTATAGTTACTTGGTTATTATTATTGAGAAAAAAGAAACTTACTTCCCTACTTTTTGGACCAACAACGGCAAGTGAAGCCAGATATTCACTTATGCCGGATATTTCTACATTGGCTTCTATCTCAATTGCAGCTCTTTTCAACCAGTTAAGTTCACGAGATTCCCGCTCTGGATCGGTTATAAGTATAAATTCCGATCTGCAATACTGCAGATTTCCAAAAGCATGTTCTACAATGGCTGCAATCAAAAAAGTCGATGAACAAATTTACATTTATCTTTTATTCTAATTTTTAACATAATACATCTTAGGCAGCATTGATGGCCAATTATTTTATAATCAACTGGGTAAAACTATAAAATGAAAATCTCACAAAAGTTAACACTTCGCCATCACCAAAATTAAAGAGAAATGAGTGATCAAATAATCCTAACGGTTATCAGAAAATAATTAACCCAAAAAGTTACTTTCACATTCCAGAAGTACCTGTATTGGTCATGATGGAAAAGGTCTAGTGATCCGAAAATATTTCCTTTTTTAGTAAGCATTAATCCCGACGATAGTTTGCCTAGTTGAGGTGGCTCATTGGCGAGCACATAACTGAGTAACTTTTCGGAATCCTTACCACGTACCTGGAAAAAGAAGCATATTTCAAACCCGAAAAGGAACCTTAAATTTAGGGATTCAAAAATTAAAAAAGACTGAGTACTTCGAGTTTTTTCTTTAAAAATTTTCTAACCATTTATTTTGAGGATTTCAACGTTTTCGTCCGACTTCCGATGATGACCTGACAAACTCGAACCTTTAATAATAAAATTTCGTTTTTCCAACGCTGATGATGGAAAGTTACATGAAAAAAATAAGGAATTTAATAGTTAGTGAACAAAGAAAAAGATAACTTCAATTTTGCCCCGCCAGGATAAGTCGATGACACCACATTTATTCGACACCAACTCATATTCACGTATCATATTCGGTAGTTTATCCTTGTATTCAGCAGCAAATGATTCGGCAACCTACAAAAAAACAACTACCTATCTTGTGCAAACCAATACCAATATCATAGTTACATTTACGTATTTTCTACAGTTTATTGAGATCACTTATCGCACCATCAATTTATCTCTTAATGGATCTATATTAACGTAACTATGGTCTAACACAATTATAAACAATTCGAAATGGTTACCATGCTATATGTAATATTTGTAGACTACACTGTTTTTGCCTTATAAGGTTTGCTAAGATGTTTGCTTCAAATTCTCAAGTATAATCTGATAATGTTCAGTATTCCCTTACAGCTACCATCTCACACTGTAAAAAAATACTCGGATGAAGTTTAGTGGAACTTTATGAGGGATTGCGACCATATACGTATACTAAGAATTGCAATAAGTTGAATTGAGATCGAAAATAAATGTAAATGTCACAATAAAATCACCTCCCAGCCATTGCGGAATAAATAAAAGCATCCCTCCTTCTGTAGTCGTCCGTAAATTCCACTCACACGTCCTGTAGGACGTCCAATTATCCGATTCTTGTACGACCAGTTGTAAAACATGGAATATGTTTCGCGACATTTGTTAGTGATATAATCTTGCGTTACCCAACGATCAAATCTGTAATGAAATAATGCAAAGAAAAATACGAATTTCAAGTACGATAAGCAGAAACAACTTCTCATATTCCGAACTAGAACTATTAGTATTTGTTACAATTAGAAAACTTTCTCGAGAGAAAAAAGAATAACTATTGAAAATTACTCAGTTAAAACCTTCTTGAGTATTCCAGAAAGAGATGCTGAATGTTCAATTATTAAACACCGCGAAAAATCCAATTTTTGAATCTAAAGATACAACAAGCAATTCCTCTAATCTAAGGTGTTTACTACGAAAAAATGAAAAAAAAAATTTGAAGAATTAAAAAGATGGAAAAAATAAAAACAATGAAGTAAATTTTTATAGAGTAAACCATACCTATTAGCATCAGTATCAAACAGCTCAGAGGGAGGTTCACCATCGATTATCCAGTCTGCCAAATATTTTCCCATTCCACCACCGCTTGAAATACCGTCGAAATATCCGGCCTATCAGATGAATTAATTTATTCGAGAAGGAATCAAATACTTCCAACTTCCTTAAAGAAGTAAACCGATTATTAGAAATAAAAATATTTCACTTGAAGCCAATAATTTTGTTTGTGATTAATAGGTCCAACAAGCGGATAACCATCGGCCATCATGGTAACAGCACATGCCCTTGCATCAACATTGACACCACGTAAGCATGGAATAAGTTCACAAGCGCGCTTATATGCCCGTTCCAAGCGTTTGAAATCTGGCTCAACGACTATCTCTGAAGAAATCTAATATTGCCCTGTAGTTTTAAAAATATAGCGCAAAAAATTTCGGAAAATCAAAAACTACAATCAAAAACTTCTTAACTGAAAATCAGAAGTTCTCTCCAAAGTTCAATTACTTTTTCTTCCCTCTTCCTTTTTTAAAAACTGAAGCATCGCAAGTGACTATGCGAATCATTTAGGAAGAGAAAAAACTAAACTTCTGGATCGAATAAAGCAATCCTAATAACAAGCAAGCGAAGTATTACTCCTCATAACATATAAAAAAGATAATTGTAGCATACCTTTTGGCATACGCTCTATCCAGTCTTCCCGAATAACAACATCTGATGGTTTCTGTTCGAAACCACCGAATAATACACTATCACCATCTCTGTGTATGTAAAACGTACTTTCATGATCTATGATGGCTGGCAAGTCCAACAAAGACTCTACCTAAATTTTATAGATGATATCGCATTGATTTCCCGATCGAAAATACAATGGAAAGTATTTGATATTAATGTCAATCTAGTTAGTAATTTAGTTCAGGTTTTTTTTTGTAACTCATTTAGAGAAATTCTTATTCTAACACGTATTCAAAAAAAAAAAAAATCCTTTACTTTTTGAAAAGATCTTAAACTTCCTGAAAAAAATTTAGATTCACCTCAGGAAAAGGACCGATACGTGCATATTGGTGCTCAACTATTGCAAGCGGTATATCTAGGTTTGTCAAACGTCCAAAGTCTCGAGCCCACAGACCTGAAATCCACTTCGGAATTAAAAAGAAAATTTACAATCAAAATGGCATACAGCAGTAGGGATTCGCATACATTTTGCTCCCACTCTGCAGAAAGCATCAGTTTTTCTATCAGAATGCGCCATAAACGATATCTATTAAAGAAAGCAAAATTTCAATTTTATAACTGATCAATATAGCTTTCCGTATTAACATACCTTGAATACCCTCTCTTTTTTCCCCCTCTCTTTCTTTCTTTTGTTCCATAATAAAAGAAAGAGAAAATTTACGAAAATGAAGATTTCAGAGGGAATCAGCGAAACAGTAACCATAAAGAAAATAAGATCCACAGAAGTCTATTAAGAAATCGTTTTTAATTAAACTTAGCAATAAATCCTCCCACCTGCAGCATTAATAATATTTCGAGTTCGTATTTGGCTACCATCATCAAATTTCACAATCCAATCAGTTTTTTCCTCTTCCACTGCTTTAATTTGTGGGCATTGTTCAACAACCACAGCACCACGTTTTTCAGCACCTTTAGCTAGAGCTATTTTCAAATTTTGAGCCTTTACATGACCATCACCAGATGTATATAAAGCTCCTAGTACAGTTTTCGTATCCAGAATAGGTGCCAAAATTTTCACGTTATCAGCATCAATCAGTGTTGTTCTTGCTACATCACCTTTCTACAAAGAAGAATGGAAATTAGCGAAGTACTGGAAACATTGCGAAGATATTCATATTTGGACAAGTACAGAAATCTGAAAACTTCGAAACAAACTTTCAGTACCTGAGTGAAAGATTTCGCATATCTGGACTTCTATAATGGAAAGGATCACGATGAGGGTAGGGAGAGGAAAAAACTTGAAATTTGTAAAAAGATTCACTTAACAACTAAGAAACTTTTTCCAGGAAAATGAAAAGTACTGTAAAATAGTCTCGAGCGGTGTATTGTTTGAATTCATCCAAACGCGCCTCATTAGTTGCTAATCTTAATGTACCGGGACGGAAGAACTCAAGCTTCTGAAATTACATACAATAAATCAAAGAACTATGCATCAAAGAACAATGGAAACTTTAACACTCAGACAAATCTCAACAGTGTTAAATTTCAAAAAAAAAGAGCATACCCCTCCTGCTTCCTCTTGTAGACGTGCATATAGTTCAACAGACCAAGCGAGGAACGGCTTGTAACGATGAACTGGATGTGCCGAGCTAACCAGGCCTGGCTATAAATTCGAAATAGAATAAGATGAAAATATAGTAAACATCGGTGCTAAATAATATTTTAAAACATCGAAATCATTTAAATAAATTCTCTTAATCAACTCTTCCGAAAAATTCGAAGGTCACTTTCTACCAGAAAAATGCACTAAGAATCCCGGTGTTGTAAGTCAGTTAATGAGCAAACAAATCAAATTAAGGATTGTTTGCGTAAACAGAATTAAGACTGGGTATTGTTCACGCTTCAAAAATTTCAAAAAAAAGAAAATACATAAATAAAAATCATGAAAATTTCAAAAACACACAAACTAGAATTGATTTTGAAATAAAATTTCTGCAAAAAAGTGAAATTAAAATAACTCAGATGTAGAAAAAATCACATCCATAAATTTTGAAGAGCCGTAAAAGTTTGGAAATCAAACCGGATGCAGTGCTAATCCATCTACTAATTTTCCTCTCTCCAATAAAACTATATCAGGAACACCGCGAAGCGTCAAATGATAGGCTAACGATGTTCCAGCAATACCACCACCAACGATTAACGCAAATGCATCTTTGGGTAATTCACTAAGATGCCTGCATAATTTTCTATTGTAAATTTTGTTACTATAAATTCTTACCAAATAAAATTTTTTCCAATATTTACATACTTTAAACAAACTGTTTTTTGGCGAAGATATTTTTCAAATTACTGATAGCTTTCATAACTGAACCGATCAAACAAAATGGATTTACCCGTAAAGTCATTTCCTCCAAGATGTCTCATTCGGATGTCACATAAGCATTATCATTACAATGAAATGTGCTATATTAATGATTCACTTCTTCTATTGCCTCTAACGCTATGCTGTAAGATACTAGGTATTTTTCATGTTTCACTGTATTCTTTTGTATATTTCCCAAGACAATGGAAAATTTTACTTCTGCTCCCACAATGATAACTATGACACTTAACTTAAAACAATGGATAAGCCGATCAACCATAAAGCAATCCAGAAACTTAACAAAGCATAGAAGCAAAGAACCTTTCACAAACTTAATACAGATAAAATAAATAGTAATAAAAGGAGATGAATTCATGTTAAAAAGCTACAGTATTCCCTAACACATTAACTGAAAAACCTAAAACGGTCAATTCAAATAGTCACTACTGTATTATAAATCAAATTCAAAATTACTGACATAAATTTCCTTACCGGATCTGTTCGATTAATTGACGTTTTCCGGAACCGGCCTTCAGCAAAGCAAACATTTCACATCCCACTCGCAAAAAGCACCAACAAACAATGAGAAATAACGGTAACTATTACCAAATGCCTCAAAATTCATAACAGTTATTTTATGTAATACCTTTCACAATTACACGTAAAATTAGACATTCCACCAGATACATGTAATAGCTAGTTTCAATAAATGAACAATTGATTTTTCTTTTTTGCAAAATTTTCGAAATTTCGAATGAAAAGAGATCCAATAATGTTGATGAAAAAACGTAAAGAAACGTAATCCAACGTAATGCAAACAATTCTTGATCCAATTTTTTTACATTTTCATGATTACTCAAAGATGATACAATAGTTATTCGCATTTAAGTGACATTATAATGTATCATATTTAAATTATTTGCATTTAATGGAAAAATTGATCGGAAAAAAGAATGATGTAAATGGCGAACAATCATGTCATTAGAGTTTTTGTCAACTTACACATCTGTGGACTAAGAGATAGTTTTAAAAAAAAGCTAAGCTAAGGAAAAAGCAAACATGTCATTTTAATGAGGACTCTTTGCCAATTCGATAATAAATAAAATATTAGTCAACAAAAAGAACAAAAATCTGAAAGGCATGGAAAAAAAAAAAACCTGAGAGATTTTTCGAAGAATTCATTTCAAATAGTCAAATAAATGGTTGCACCTTTTCCTTCTTTTTTTTCTTGTTCCCTCCCGATGATAAAAATGTCCCAATTTCCAACACCTATGAATGTATCTTACAGGTATGACTAACAATACCCCTCCCTCTCTCTCTCCCTCTTCCTCCCTCTCTCCCTCTCTCTCTCTCTATTCGTACCAACTCTTCCAAGATTCTATGTACTTTGATGATTGATTTATTACATAAAATTGTTTTGTAATTTATGGCACTGATCTTTAGACTTAGTGAAGAAATGAATAATTGAAAAGTTAATCAATTAATGCATATTTACCATTGACAACTGTTAGCATATAAGCTGTAAACAATATTATATGTAAATAACTAATTTATAAACCAAAAGTACTAATAAGCACCTCTTAATTCTCTTACAATTTCCGACCAACTTGTACTTGCCGACTCTCTTATGAATACAAACCCTTATCACTTGTGGCTATCAACCAGCAGCTCCCCCCCCCTTTTTAATCACTTTTTTTTTTTTTGTCCAAATGAGCATTTGTTAATTCTGCAGCATCTACAAATAAAACTAATAGTAAATTTTTGATATAATAATAGCTTTCAGAAATTAAACAACTATGTGCAATCGCGAGGTTGTACTTATATCGGATGCTAGAAGTAGAAAAGAGGAGGCCTTAAAAACATTTTAAAAAAAAGCCTAAAACCCTAAAAACCCTGAATATCTGGTTGATTACTAAACGTAAGTAGAAATGTCAATGTTCGAAAGGAATCTAAAAGATTCTGGACGAAATGGAAACCTAATTCTGATCAATAATGACAATGAGATAAGGTGATATCGAAGAAATGAAAAAATTCACGAATATTTAAGTATGTTATTTTAAGCTCAAACAATTGATATCTAATCATTAAAATATAAAAATTCCACAAATTACCGCTGAACTGTGAACAATTAAATACATCCAGAATCATGGGAAGTTACAAAATATTAGCACATCACAAGGTTGAAAAAGATTTGAAGATTAAATTTTAAAATAGTGTTCATAGAGTAAAACAATCATTTGCCAAACTCGACGATCTAGTGTGAAATCACAGATATAATATGCAAAACATATTAATCATGAAATTTAAAAAAAAGAAAAAGAAATATACTGTAGAAATAAACGTCGTCAGTGGAGCAATAATATTCAACAACATAATTCAAATGGCAATCCGGCAGAGAATGCATTCTATAAAACATGTATGTTCTTAAAATTTATTTGGATCAAAGTGTAAAATGTCAATATTCCAAAACACAATTATAGAAGGATGCAAAAGAGCGATAAATAAGCAAACAGATAGATAATAAGCGAATTCCTTGGGAAAATAACTGCGTTTATCTGACTCAAGAACGATAAATAAGCAAACAGGATAAACGAATGAACGAATTCCTTGGAAAATAATTACGCTTATCTGACTCAAGAAAGATAAATAAGCAAACAGATAGACGAATGAGCGAATTCCTTATTCCTTAGCGAATACCTTGTTAGCATTTTGAAGTTCAGTGACAAGGCAATCATCAAATTTTGATACTAATGCAAGAAAAGTATTTTTCAGCGTAAATTTTAGCAACACAAGTAATTACTTAGATAATCACTAGTCAACAGGATGACAAGTACCATAAAGTATGATAAAACTTCATATTGAAAAATCTATTCATTCGAAAATTGTGCTCAACTGCAGGATCTGTGTGCTAATTTGTGAGGGAAATCGATATGGGATCATTGCAATATACAAAATAATTGCTTTAGCCGATGGTCGCAATTCATCGCTTGCTGCTGGATTACGATTCAGTTCTTCCGCCAACAATTTCATCACTGCTACGCACAAATCTGGTAGCACTAACCGCATCTGAAGAGAAAAAGATAGTCAATAAAATCTTCTGAATCTTAATGTATTGCTTCTGATGTTATCAGACCCATAATACTGCTAAAAATAGTTATTCAAAGCCTAAGATCATTCCTAACCGTAAAAATGCATACATTCATAAATTCATAAAAGGACAGATTTCAGTAGAAAATAAACAGAAGTTTTACAAAATGATTCTTACATCACTTTGTTCAACAAAAAATTGACTACAAAGAACGCAAAGTAAATTTTTCAAGAATTAATTTAGAAAGTAGGGTTTATGGAACGCGCAAAAATGTATGTATATTCATAAAATTTTTATTTTTTTTATGGCACTAACTTTTTTATGGTACACTTTATGGCACTAAAATTTTTATGGTACTAACTCAATCTATAACTTAAATTTGTTGGTGCTTTTTGTTTCATCCTACTGGCAATTTGCTAGAATCTGAAAAATGATAATCAAAAAATAGCTTCTAATCTTTCAACTGTCCATTGAAAACAAAAACTAACTTGATCAGAGACCATGTAAAAAGTGGATACAAATGCTTGCACCTCATCTGGATTCATCGGTATGCATTTCAGTTTCTTAATTATTTCCATACAAGCTTCAAATCTAAAAATAACATATTTTTAAAGAGATATACTAGATAATTATCTGACGACCAGCTGTAGGTAGACATTATAAGAGTGATTTCTTCAGTTCTTCTAGGTATTAGTGAAGTTCCAAGTGTAAATATACCATTCCAGTTTCTGCCTCAGGTTACCTTCCCTTATTTCCAACTTAAAACATGATGGGCATATTTTAACAATATATTTTAACAATGCCCATACAAGATAATAAAAAGAGTAAGTGTACTAGCACCATTTTTCAAAAGATGGTAAGAGCTAGCACAAATTTGAACCTTCAGCAGTGATAAAGTTTCACTTCCCATACAAGATAATAAATGAGACGAGGTAATAAATGAAATTAATATGGAGTGGTGATATGATCAACAAGATAATTCAAAATTATCGACTTACTTATTGTCATGATAAAATTGGAAAAATGTGGACAGGTCGAGTAAAAGGTACAAAGTTGGAAGTGCATCCAGTGTATTCCTTCGAGTTGTCACCGCTGAATTCTTGCAAATATTTGCAAGCCATAACGCTAGCTCACGAGCTTCACCGGCATCTTTGTGGCGAGTTATTTCTTTAGTTAAGCCTTCGCAAGCCAATCGTATTGCGTCATCGACATGCTGTACATAAGATAAGTTTACTTCTGTAATTTATAAACAGAAACATTAGAATTTAAGGATTAATGACCAAATTTGTAGATAACTCTGCTGTCTTCGACATGTTCTGTATCAAAACTACTTGAAACACATAAAAAGCTGGAGACTTCAAAAAATTTGTAATTCAAATCCAAACTAACATTGGCAGCCATATAAAGTTGTCCAGCAAGTGTTCCATCACCGCTAACTTCGGTATCTGAGGCAACTTTTGCGATAGCATCTTCAATACTGATATCTTTGGCGTACTTATCGATGAGACCTTCATGTCGAACACCGTTTTCATTAATTTTCCCAATAATACGCCATGTTTCATCGCTCAAATAAATCGCGCGAGAAATACAAGAGTAAAACAAGTTTCCACCTGCAATAATATTACTTTTTCCTTAAATAATTAACTCTGCCGACTCTAGATGCACTGTCATCTTTTATCTTTTGCTCGACAATAAAAATGATGATTTATCAATCGACATCAATCGATCGACCAATCGAGTTTCCAACCTAACGCTACTAAGCAATCGATCGGTCAATCGAGTTTCCAATCTAACGCTACTGAGGTGGGTGTGCACGTCATCAACTATTAGGAGTGTTTGTCTGGTTGACTGCCTTCTTCAGACCTATCAAACACATTATTGATACCTGCACCCTTTGAAATTACACTCCACCATCCTCACTCATAACACTAACTTTTTCGTCGATCGCATCAATTTCACTTGATAACATAGCTGTATTTTACTGGACATTACGAGATGCATTCAGAATTTGGAGAGGAATTTACTTCACCCCGAAATGCATTCAGAATCGGCGAAAACAAACCAAAGTATTACTTGTGTGGAAAAATGCTTACCAACAGGTGATTCCATCTTGTTCAAAAAGTATGCGTAATCCAAAGTACGTTCAACATCAGTACATTCAAATCCCTTCATGTAGAATAAAACAAGGCGACAAAAATTGAGCGAACTTTGCACTGGATCTTCTTGCTGACTTAACACTAAATTTACATAAAATTGTGAAATTCACAATTCAAATAACTCGTCACTATTATCATCTATAACATATAAAACAGATAGGTATACATGAAGATTTTATAAGGTCTACAAAGTATTAGGACTACCTCAATAAATGTTTGAAATTGTGTTTGAAATGCTTGGAACTGTAAATCAAATGTTGACTTGAGAAAACATTAAGTAGTTTCAAGTAGAACTTCGAAAAACTAACGTATTGGATGCCCGATATCATCAACAAGAATTAGAACACCGTTAAGAAATAATAAAATCGCCATATGTACTGCATGTACCAACATATTATTCCTGCAATTAGTCGTAATCATTTTACACATAATTTTCCTTTTAAATTTGTTTTTGTTAGTGACACATGAGTTTATGTGTTGGACAAAGTACTGTGGTTCATGTGTATTATAAAACAATTTTTTGATCACAAAGATAAGCAACTGGTTAATGTAAATTTTCACTACTTTGGAAGCTTTGTCTTTTAAAGAGTATAAATTTAGATTTTAAAATTCCATTAAGGAACACCGGATTTCATAAAAAAGCGAAACATATGAGTAACCTGTATAACAGATTTATCGCCCGCTCATACTGTCCGGTTAACCACAGTGCTTGAAAATAAATTAACACACTTCCATCATTCCCCACAAAGTAGCTCTCACCTAAAAATACCCGACTATTACGTAGAGCAGCTAAAGCAACTGAACTATCTGGTCACTTAATGCAGCATATCTTCTATTAGTGATAAGCGCACACGGCCAGACAGTCTTTAAAATGGATACTTGTAATATAAGCCACGAATCTCTTTTTTTTTCGGAATAAAAAGAAAGAGTGACAAAAGGAAGAGTTTCTTTCATGACATTCGGGATGAAATAAAGAGTGGAAATGAATGATGGGACTGACCGAAGATCCGAACTTTCCACAGTTTAGATCGCCGACCCTTCCTAATTAACGCGTAAGGTTTTAAATTTTCGAATTTCAGTACAGAGATAGCATTTGTCCGATCTTTGATCAGTCCACCATTCACTGTCACTCTTTCATCCCGAAGGTTCTATGGCATTCTAACAATATCCGCAATTCCATCAAATTTATCATTTATTTGCAACTGCACGTAAAGAAAATACTCCATATATCTATGATTACAAATTACCGTAGTCAACAGATATGAGCCGCTGAAGCTCTCTGAAAACTGCAGGCGAAAGCGCAGGATCTATACCACATGGATATAATTTCAACCAAAGCCAATTTTCCAAATTATTGCACACTTCAGGCACATCACCACCAAGCAGAGCACAATATACTGCTTTTTTGTAGATATCCACAAACGAACGTGATTCACAACGCCATTCCGCCTTTACTTTTAACCGAATATCAGCAGAAAGCCTAAAACTGAGCTAGACAATTAACATTCTCATCCAAAATAACCGTATCACACTAACATGAAATCTACAGCATAACTTCACCAACCCCAAAGTAATAATGCAATAGTGATTTATGCTGAGTAATACTATGCTAAGTAGTAGTACATGCATTTTTTATCTGTAAAATCAAACACCCGAGCTAAGTAAAACCAAATATGAATCTCGCGAAAACCCAAAGACATAAATAGTTCTACAGAAAACTTACTTTTTATTTTTTTCAAGCTGAAGCAAAGCAACTGTCGCAGCTGCGCATGATGGTAAATTTTTCAAATGTGAATCAGCTATCTTTGCAACGGACTGTAGCTCCCCAGCTCTTAAACAATGATAAACAACCTCCCAAAGGGCATGTCCATTTGGTCCATACACGCCATCCTGGAAACTAATAATTTAACTATTAATGAAACAAATAATTGCAGATTTTCAAAAAATGTAAACTGAATACCTTGAAAATTTTTAAAACATAACTAGGTGAAGATAACTTCCAATAAAAAGATATCGAAACCGGATTACCTGAGTGTGTCGTTGAGTTGGTTTTAAATGTTTTACGTTCAGAAAAGCATCAATAAGCGATAACATCGTCGGATTACCACCTCTGCGAGCAACTGCTAAATTATTCTCCACAACTGTCTCCATGTACGAAATAAAACTACAAAAAGCTTTATTGTGTATGAGTGGATAATTAGTTTTTGATAAACGGGTCATAATTTTTCATGATTTTAGGAATGGATGCAAATATTGTCCCTGCATTTCAATAAACTGAATACTGCTTGTAATGTTAAAGAATCTTTTTTGAACGATTTTTTATTTAGAAGGTAAACACTACTATAACTTTTTAGTTTCTGGGAATGTTTCTACCTGATTTAAGTATACCATGATCCATCAGATAATGGTACGATTAAAAGGAAAAGAAAACCTAAAAATTTAAAGTTGACTTGCTTTTTATGAAGAAATTCCAAAGTTGTATCGATGATGTGTTTCATCCAAGAAACTGAAGCGCGGAAATTTTTGGCAGTACCAGAAGCAACAAATGGGTGATTCAGTGGGGCAAGAGCTTGCCCCCATAATGTGACTATTCCATCATCGCGTGATTTCGATGCAGCTTCTTTGAAAGCCAAAGCTAACATGCTCACATTTTTTTGTACTACGTAGTCAGAAACCTAGAAATTGGACAACATCAGAAAACATGTGACAGAATCTGGATTATGTTTTGAAAAACCTTTCCAGTTAACGCAAATGTAGTTTGCTCGATATAACCATATAGGACGTGATTCTTTCCTCACTGAAATAAATTGTGCTAAATTTGAAAACTTACACCCTTGGCGAATGTCAATTCTATACCGTCACCAGGCATGATCGAAGTCAAGGAATCCAAGTTTGCTGTCTGAAAAGTCGTTACGTCTGCGATATGTGGACAAGTTCAAAAGTTCATACTTCAATATGGGTACTGAATGCGACATGTGAAAAACAACTTGCCAACACAAAATTATGATCAAAATAATTCCAATAATTATTTAATACTGATTAATTTACAGAGTTATCAATGAGTTCTGCAGGTTAATCGGTATTGAATAAATACTGTTGGCACTCATCACGTTCGTATATTGTAAGATATAAGCATCAAAGGAACATAAATTATTAAAGTGTAAGCAGACTCCTCTAACAAACATTAAGGCGTTACTGAACATTGCAGCAGACTTTTACCCTCTCTGTGACTACTGCTGCTTTCGACAATTAAACGATTTAATCAGTGATGGAAAGAACTAACCCTGGAAGACGGAATAGTAACAGTAGCTTTCGTTACAGATTTAGACGTCGTATATGCTTGATCCACTACACGTTGATTCATGAACGCTCTTTCAGCTTCCAAACGAGTACGCATCGAAGTTTCAGCAACAATTTCATTCAACATATGTTGGCAGTCTGACGACGGCAATACAAGCTCTTCAGCTTCATTTTCTCCTGTTTCTTCTTGCATTTGTGGTACTGAGCTAAGTGCAAAGCCCTTTCCACCCAATAACAAGCCAATCTTGAAAACGAAAAGTTAATAAAATAAAAAGTAAGACAAAAGTCTAAGAAACTATGCGCAATAAAAACCATAAACGATAATCGAACATACTTCCACATCGGATAACCGTTTCTCGGCAGGTGTCTTTCTTTTCCATAAATCTTCACTGCGTCGGAAAACATCATTCAGTGCAAGATCGACACGGGTTTTGTACTGGAATGGAGCAATAAATTCATCCATACTTTAACAGAAGAATTTATATTTTCTAATTCAAGCTTTTTAATTTTCTAATCCATGAATAGATTTAACTGAATAGAAACCCTTCTCATTATTACTACAAAGTGGAAGACTTCATTGCAGTGTATTGCAAAAAATATTTACCCACCTAAAAATCAGCAAGTACT